CTATAGTACCAGATACTTCCATTCCTTCAAAAGCAAACAAACTGTTTATTCTATTGTAAATTAGACGAGCTGTTAATATTATTGTTCTAACTTTAAGATCAGCAGGCAAGTCAGTTCCTGTATTTTGGAATGCTTCAATAGCATCATGAAGCTATTCAAGGACTGGGTCTTTATCGTCGTAGACCCTCTTCCAAATAATTTATTGTTTCTTTCAGCTAAGATAAATGGTTCACTATCCCGTCCGTCAGATATGTCGGCTGGTTGCACATCTAAATAGCCATATAAACAAATGGTGTTTTTTTTGGGGGGGATCATTACCTAGTAAGCCAATTAAAACAGGGGGTAGAGCCACAACTTTGCCACTTAATACCTAAACGATTTAATGTTACTCAAATGTGATTAATAAAAAAAAAATGTAATCGAACCTATATTTAAAATTATTTAAATATTATACCTGTTCGCCAATGACACAAAGTTCAGTAGTCGCTCCAAGTGCTTGTAATTTTACTTCAGCCCATTTGATCATCTTAATGMCTCCAATTCTTAAATCCGGATCTGCTGATACAAATGTAATTGAAACTACTTGTGAAAATCTTTCCACAAATTTCTTTTCGTTTTCATTAACATAAGACATAACTATAGGATAATAATAAAAAAATATTTGATCATTATTAATCAAAACTATTGTGAAATGGTAATATGGTGTACACATTTGCTTATGTCACGTAATACCTACTAAAAATCGTTTAAATCTACCTCATGTAACGGTTACACCACACACTAAAACGGTCCTTTTAAGGACTACTCAATGCATTRCCATCAACCAATCAGAATATGACATTGTAGGAAACAAACGTAGTCAGGTACTTAGAACCAAACTTTAGCTTACTTGGCTACACAACAACCCTGTGAGTACAGCCATGGTAAGCTGAGGTCAGGACGAAGATAACGAGACTCTCTCCACATGACCGTAACCAAAACAAGTAACAACCAAATCCGTCACGACAGTAAACACGGGTGACACGGGGGTACATCCGGGGTTTACTAGTCAGTACGGCTCTCTAGTTATATTCCGGCCGATTTCCGGTAGACAGACACCTATTCTTTTCATCACGATTCCTTCGACCAAGTTTCCAACAAGAAAAACATTCGAAGACAASAGAAAAATCTATTCTAACCTTTAGAATAATCAGRTGCTGTAGACGATCATTAGGTACACCGACTTGCCAACAAGTCACCAGSAACTGCAACAGCACGACAAGACTCCTCRTACAAACCCTCCGTTTGTACGAGTCGACGATCCATCCTAGCCAGCAGTTWTYGGTTACGTTTACGCCGGTCGAGAAGATGATCGGACAGCCAGCAATCAATCCTCGCACGGACCCTTACGGGCATCGCCACACATTCTTTCCRCTCGAGTCGATTTCCGCAATGTCGGCATGTCGCCAATAATTTGCGACTAGACAACGCACCGGAAACAGCGACWGTCMAAAAATCACGACCACCCGTACAAACACGTGAGCAGTTCGTAAGAATAGTCACAARCCATTTGTACAGGCGGCTGTCGTGATTACGGGAAATCGGAGTATTTACGGAATGATGAAATAATAATAATTTTTTTTTGTAATTCAGAAATTAATAACCGTACATACATGAAATGTTTACAAAATATAATTCACATCTCTAGAACAGGAATTTGTCACCAAAAAGATGTGCCAGCATTGAATTATCATCTTTTTTAGATAATATTTAAAGTAACAGAGCCATACTTTATATGTCAGTATGCATATTATATTATTTAATTTATTTTTATATTTATTTCTAAATGGTTCAAACTTTACAAGTAAATTAAACTGTGTCAAATAATATTATTAAATATCAATCATGATCAATCCCATTTATATTAATTTTGGATGTTATGGGCTCTCAATTAGTCTGTTCTAAGAATACTATTTAGATAAGTATAACGAAAAGAAAATATTTTGAAAAATATAGAAATATACATAACAAAGCTTTATTAACAAACCTTGAAATTGTCATTGTGATTTATGATGTAGAAAAAATACTAAAATGAATATTAGTTGTTTATTCGTATTTGAGTTTAGCAAAATAAATAAAAATGTTGCGTCAAAATGTTCGATTTCACTTAAAAAATTTTGTTTTCCAGGTGCTTTTGAAAAGTTCTGGGAATTTTCAATTTTGTCCTATTAAAAGAGAAAGTTAAGAGAAGAATAGCGATACGCGATAAATACAGCCCTACTTCGATAGTGATGAGACGCGATAATGTATCTACGTTTTTACAATTTAATATTTAAGTATCTGGAACTGTGGAGACTGAAGAGGTTTGAAATAATTATAATTTAATAATATAAATTATTAAAAGCAAATTGTGAGGACGTATTCTACGTTATATTATCTCTTTTCCACGTTAACAACGTACGTATAAAAATTTTATTCGTAATAAAACATATATCTGTCTGTTGGGCGAGTGTTGGCAGAAATTAGTTATACCTAGTGTAAGTAAGTAGTACAGAAAATTCTATCTGTAATCGTAAAACGTAGTGAATAGCAATAATTTTCTATGTTCATTAATATTTCATTATTACTATTGACTCATTGACCAYTATACTAGTATAGCTATTACCCATATTATGTCGTTGGTTTTAGTATTTATCTAATTATTTACTATAATTCAGCTAATGCTTGTGATTTTATTTTTAGTTTCTACAATAGCCTTGTCTTTTGAACAATATCACCATCCATTGTTGTATTGATCTTGAGTTTTTAAGATTACAATGGAATCAGTACCTACATCCATTAACAGATGTTTTTCGGTAAATTATATTTTAATATTTAATGTAYTAGGTTTATATTTATAATGTGAAAATATATTTATTTATACATCTTAAATATATATCTCTACAACTGCAATTATTTGGTAGGTAGTAAGAATAAGTTGAAATATCTAATTAATGATTGACTTATTACACAATAGATTGCATTGAATTAAGCAAGTAGTTTTTAAAATTTGAATGTAACTCCTACCAAATATATAAAATAAAAAATTGTTTCAAAATGATTTTAACTATCATAATATATGAATATGATTATAATATAATATATATCTATATGAAAATAGACTTTTTCTTTAAATATTTTGATAACAATATTAATAACCTCAACTTCATTAAATGTATCCAACTATTGGATATGTTCACAATAACTTAATTAAATTAGCATTTAATCTGTTACTCTAAACCAAAGGTAATAATCTATAAATACCTAGTATAAAATATAAATAATTTGAAATATAAATAATTATTTATTGAAAAGTATTGGTTTTTGAAAAATTATAGGCCTATTAGATTAACAAATAGTTGTTTAGGATCTAAAAAAAAAAGAATCATAAATCATATGATGTTTAAAAAACAATTCATAACGAATCCATTAAGAGCGAAGGCAAAAATGTTTCGACCTACATACTAATTTCCGGTAGTTTAAATKAACTTTTCAACGAAACGTGGATAAGAAAAGAAGAATTGCTTAAAAAAGTAATTCCAAAATGTTTTATCGGAAAGTAAATAAACAAGTCGGTGGAAAAAGAGGAAACGTTGTAAAATAAAATTGCGGAAAATCACTTCTGAATATTATAGGACTAATACTTTTAAACAATTAGTTTAATTTTTCGGTAAGGTTTTTCTGCAAGAACACTGTATCTAGGTCCACTTAAACTTAACATTTACTACCGCAGTTAGGTATCTTTGCGGTTTACAGCTATCTGAAACTAAAAAAGATAATAAAGAGTTTTCTCTTGCAATCCTACAATATATAATAATGTAAAGTGCGTCCAAAAAGCTTACTGGCTAAACGACTAAACAACGCGTTTCGTGCGTATCACARCGTGATGATATTTAATTTCTATTGCCTTCATAAAACGTATGTGCCTATAACACGCCGACGCCGCCATCATACGGTCTCGAGCTGGTCTTGTGTGCCTTCCTAACACGTAATATTATAAAAATGTTTAATATATATTATAGATAGGTAGGTGAGGGCAGCATATACCATCACATTTACATATATTATACCAAGAAAGGCAAGAATATGGTGTGTAGTGTATCATAGGTATATACATGATAATACCTTTCATGTATAGCAGGATCCCCGATCCTCTGCTCGTGAGCAGTTTATATTCAAAACTGAGTCTATATGCAGCTTCATTAATAATACAAGTTTAATTACTCATAATGGATTTCTATCGGGGTGACGTGTTTTTTGACATAAACTTCGAGTCTTAGAGAGCTCACGAAAGAAGTAAACCTTAAGAAAGTGGCAAAAAAACTAGGCCATGTATAATATGTATTATAATACATTCCAACCGTCATATATGACCGCCTTGTATGAATAAGTTATCAACCATATCATAGACAAGTCCGAAGGGCGACGGAAGAGTTAGGTCAACCTAGGCAATCAAAAAAATATAATACCCATGCAAGTAAAAAAATATATATGTCACATCATATTATAATGTAAAATGTAACGTATCAAAGTTTTGCATAATATATTTTTAACCGATTTCGTAAAATATGTTAAAGGTAATAATTTGTGATGTATTATAAAAAATGTTTGKGTTATTAATCAATATTTACCTATACAATATAATATACTGTAATTTTTTTTTTACTAAYACTAATATCCCTTTATTGAAATCATTAACCTATTTATTTATTACTTTTAATTGCTAAAATATTGAATTATATTACGAGTAAATAATTTTATAAAGCTCAAAAAATTGAAAACTTCAATAAAATACACGGCGGAAGTAAAAAAAAAAAATTATTAAAATATAAACTAAATTTTTACAGTTAATCTGAAACAAGTTTTTATAAATTTTTAAATGAAAATGATGAATTGATTTGAATACATCGTTAAGTTATAACAATTTCAAAGTGTCCCTATATTGGCTATATTACATAACAAGTCAACTTTAGTGTATTTTGTCGAACATTGAAACTGCTTCCTAATTGAATAGAATTTTTCAATCTGAAAATGAATAAAATATAAAAAATAATATTTATAACGAGTRTATCATAATTGTRGTTTATAATTTTATATTTTTATACAAATTATTATAAAACTAATTGGAGTTACATAATTAAGACTAGAAACTAAACATTGCTTCTGATGTTTCAGTACCAATAATAAACTAAATGTACGTTTGATTATATAATACATATGCGATATGCATACAAAATAAAGCAGTCTAACCTTAAGTAAAAATCTTATGTAAAGGTGGTCGTATATTTCTATACTTTGCCTGGTTGTGTTTCATAACTTCATTAAGAATTTAGAGTTAAAAGTATATAATCACTGTACAAAATTAGACAAATATTTCCATATTTCAATAGTCAAAACTAAAATCGTTAATGGATTCACTTCATTCAACATGTAGGTAGTACATATTTACTCAGTGCACTTCTTCAACACTGTTAGTAAACCGTTCACTATTTCATTATTTAATTATTATATCTAAAGCCTGTAAGTATATAATATAATTTATATCTCATTTTTACTCTTAACTTCTAATAATATACATACCTATTGTTATTATTATTATTTTTTTTTTTATTTTTTTTGGATGAATGATTAGCCATAACAAAATAGATTATTGAAAAAAGGGTTAACATGTTTTGAATTTAAACATTATTATATAAGATTATATGAATTGATAGATTTTTAAATATTTCAAAATTTTTGTAATGTTGGCTAGATCAGGACCAAGTTACTTCATGGAAGTTGTCAACAATTTGGAAATTGGATCGGATGTCCTTGTAGTTTCGGCAGTTGCAAATTATGTGTTTGACTGCGAGTATTTCTCCATCATGTGGGGCATTGGTCAAGTTCCATTGTGGTCATGAGGTGTTTGTGGGTCAGTCATGTGTGTCCCATTCGGAGTCGATTTATAATAACTTCTTGTCGTCTGGATAGTGTGAAGGTTGGCCATGGKAGGATGGTTTATTTTATCTCATTAATTTTGGTATGAAATGTTGACCACGATTTATTATTATTATTATTATTATAATTATTATGYATCATATGCAACTAAATATTTATTTATTCAACATTTTAACACTCCAAAGAGGTAATGAGTACAGTCATTAAAGTTTCACTAAATATTATATTATAAATATAATAATATTGTATAGATTGTATACAATTTAAAAAAAAAAACAGCATTTAAACGGGAAAAAAACATATTAAATATTATACATTAGYTTAACAGATATTTTTAAAAATTTAATTGT